TGAATTAATGAATTTACAATAGAATGACAATATAATTTAATATATTCGTATTTCAGTTTTTAGATCTTAATTTATTACACTTAATGGTAATAGTAGCTAGGGTTCTTCAAGGGTAATTACATTCTCTAAATAAAATAGTTCCTCATAATTTCAACTTTATCTTAGATGAGAATTATAAACTTTAAATATTTAAACTATGAGTTGTAATTATATGAATATATATATGAAAAAACTCTTTATTTGTTTGACAAGTTAATATTTTGTGAAATACAATCCTACCTATTCTTAACTTAATTCAGTGTAAATACTATTCACTATAAGTTTGAACCTCCTAATTTTTTAACATCATATTAATAGTATTCAATTTTGAGGGGATTAATTTTTGAAATTTTAATAGAAGTTTTTTCAACAAATAATTGTCTATCTAAGGTAATATTTATTCAATTTCAAACTGAATATTATAACTCTATTAAATTTACTATTGGACTAGACAACATCTAAATCATAGAAATACAAGGCATGCATTTAGTTTTCTTGATTTAGTAGCTGATTTAACAAATCTACTTGAAACTCTATTTATCAATTTTGAAATTTTTAGATCTAAACTAATACTATTGGTTAACGAATTTATTTAATCCAAAATTGAAAATTCATAAATTTGTATTTTCCAAACATTTAATATATCAGAGGAAGAATTTTCATAGCTTTTGAAAACTACATCTAATATCCTTTTAATATTCATACTACAATCAAGTAAAAAGGAAGGATCAAATTTACTAATTTCTAAGTTAAATAACATTTAATTTCTAATATTCAATTTTTATTAACATTAACATCAAAAAGCCATCAATCTTATGCAAGAAATATAAGAATTGAGAAGGAATGGCTTTTTTTTGCAGATTTTGATTTGTTTTAGAGGTTTTATTGCTTTAAATTAATCGATTAATCAATTATCTGAGTTTAATTTGAGATTAGTTTAAATCCCCAAAAATTTTTATTCTTAAATTTTATATTGAATTGTATATTTCAGAACATACTATTAAAAATATTATCTGCTTTGATATTTTATTACTTGAAGATTAATAACATCTCGAAAATAAAGATTGAGCTAGGAAGATTATTCTTAATGTAAATTTTTTTCTTTATGTTAAGTAGCATAAAACAATAATAATGGTGTAACAAGAAATTCAAATATTGAAAATAATTAGTATTAGAAACCTAAAGAGAAAGAAAGTAATTGGCAAAAGTAATTCTTGCAACATTAATTTTTAATTAAAAACATTACAATCTACAAATAGATACTAAATATCAATAAGATTGTAATTTATAACAAGTTTTGAAAAGATAAATTACAATTTAAGTCATATCTTAACCATTTAAAAGTAATATTGTTGTATTGTAAAAAATCTATTTGTAGAATCAAAAACAGTCTGAATTGTAATTATATTATTCATAAAAAATTGCCAAATAACAAATTATAATGTTTAAAATGCTTCGTATAAAACTATTCATCTTTATAAAATCTAAGCTAAAAACTGAAAAATAGTGGCTTATAGCTTTGCAATTATGATAATACAATACCTCTGGTTGATAATAAATTGCTTAATCATAATTCTCCAGAGCTTCATTCAATCTTCCTAACTTAATTAGGATATTAGCTAAGAAATCATTCAGATTTAAAAATACCTTTGTTAAAATAATACCTTGAATCTTCTGGATTTCTCTAGATTGCTAAATTATAATTTTATAAAGCTTCTTCGAATCTGTTCAGATTCTATAGAATGTAAGCTAAAAAATCATTCAAATTTAATTATACCTTTGTTAAAATAATACCTTGAATCTTCTGGATTTTTCTATATTGCTAAATCATAATTATACAAAGCCTCTTCAGGTCTGTTCATTTTGAATAAAGTATTAGCTACCAAATCATCAAAAGTTTATTTTACCTTTGTTTAAAAAATAACTTAAATCTGATTGATTTTTCGAAATTGCTGAATCATAATTTTCCAAAGCCTCCTCAAATCTGTTCATATTTTCTAGAATCATACCTATTTATTCATATAAGTTTTATTAACCTTTGCGATTTTAATAGTCAGAATTTTCAGGATTTTTCTAAATTGCTAAGTTATAATTTTCTAAAGCTTCTTCAAATCTTTTTATTGTATTTAGAGTATTAGCTAAGGAATTATTCAGATTAAAATATACCTTTGCCAAAATAATAGTCAGAATTTTCTGAATCTTACTAAATTGCTAAGGTAAAATTTTCTAAAGCTTCTTCAAATTTGTTCATTTTGGATAGAGTATCCGCTAAAAAATTCGTTAGTTATATTTATACCTTTGTAAAAGTAATAGTAAGAATTTTCTGGATTTTTTAAATTGCATAATCATAATTTTCTAAAGCTAATTAGAATCTCATCATTTATTTTAAAGTGATAGCTGAAAAATCATTCAGATTAAACTTTACCTTTGTTAAAATAATAGTCAGAATTTTCAGGATTTTTCTAAATTGCTAAGTTATAATTTTCCAAAGCTTCTTCAAATCTGTTCATTTTATTTAGAGTATTAGCTAGGTAATCATACAGATTTAATCATACCTTTGCCAAAATAATAGTCAGAATTTTCTGGATTTTTTTATATTGCTAAGGTATAGTTTTCTAAAGCTTCTTCAAATCTGGTCATATCACTTAGAGTCTTCGCTGAGCAATAATTCAGATTTAATTATACCTTTATCACCATAATAGTTAGAATTTTATGGATTTTTTGAAATTGCTATATCATAATTTACTAAAGCGTCTTCAAATCTTTACATATTATATAGAGTTTAAGCTGAGAGATAATCCAAATTACATTATACCTTTGCCAGCAAAATTATTAGAATTTTCTGGATTTTTCTCAATAGCCGAACAATAATTTTCCAAAGCTTCTTCAAATCTGTTCAGTTTTTATAGAATACTAGCTAAAGAATCATCTAAATTTAATAGTACCTTTGCCATTATATTAGTCAGAATCTTCTGGGTATTTCTAAATGGCTCTATCTTAATTTTCTAAAGCTTCTTAAAATCTATTCATTTATTTTAATGTCTGAGCTGAATCATTCAAATTTTAATTATACCTTTACTCTAATAGTATTATGAATTTTCTGGATTTTTCTAAATTGCTGAATCATAATATTCCAAAGCCTCCTCGAATCGATTCATTTTGTTTAGAGTATTAGCTAAGAAACAATCTCGATTTAATTTACCTATGCCTGCATATAAGTCAGAATTTTCTGGATTTTTCTAAATAGCTAATAAGTAATTTTCCAAAGCTGCTTCTAGTCTGTTCATTTTTGATAGAGAAATAGCTAAGATAACCTTCAAATTTCATTATACCTTTGCCTCTATAATTGTCGGAATTTTCTGGATTTTTCGAAATTGCTGTGCCAAAATTTTCTAAAGCTTCTTCAAATCTGTTCATCTTATTTAGAGTATTAGCTGAGAAATAATTCAGATTCAATTATACCTTTGCCGAAATAATAGGTAGAATTTTCTGGATTTTTCGAAATTGCTAAGGTATAATTTTCTAAAGCTTCTTCATATCTGTTCATATCACTTAGAGTATTAGCTGAGAAATAATTCAGATTCAATTATACCTTTGCCATGATAAAAGTCAGAATTTTCTGAAACTTTCAAAATTCCCTGATCATAATTTTCTAAGGCTTCATCAAATCTCTTCATTTTCTTTAATGTAATAGCTAAGAAATCATCCAAATTTAATTATACCTTTACCAAAATATGAGCGAGAATCTCTTGGATTTTTTTAGATTGCTAAATCTAAACTCTCTAGGGCTTCTTCAAGTCTGTTCATTTCTATTAATGAAATTGCTAGGTAATCATTCAAGTTTAATTATACCTTTTCCACTATAATACTCAGAAATCTCTGGATTTTTCTAAATTGCTGAATTATTATTCTCCAAAGCTTCCGTAAATCTATTCATTTTCTGTAGAGTATTAGCTAGGTAATCATACAGATTTAGTTGTACCTTTGCGATAATAATAGTCAGAATTTTCAGGATTTTTCGAAATTGCATAATCAAAATTTTACAAAGCTTCCTCAAATCTGTTCATCGAAGATAGAATCTTTGCTTTGAAATCATCAAAATTTAATTACCTATGTAAAAATAATCACTTGAATCTAATGTATCACAATTTTCCGATACTTCTTCAAATCTATTCTTTTTACCTACAATTTCTAATTAGTTTACCTTTTTCATTATAATATATTTAATCCTCTAGTCTATTCTAAATTGTTTTATAATTTTACTCCTAAGTGTCTACAAATCTATTAATTTTTTTCTTTAATTGATATTTTATCATTTATTTACTCATCCTTATTTTCATTTCCTTTACCTTTATAGTTTATTCCCTAGGTTACATTCTAATATTTTACTTTTTAGTTAAAGCCTTCTTTTATTGATACAACTCCTTTTTCAATTTACATATTGTAATTAGTTTTACATTCTCCATAAAAATTCGACTGGATTGATTCATTTGATTTAGAATTTAGAGAAATTAAATTCTTGAAACTTAATATTCCTTATTATAAATACTTCTCAAATTGTTTTGGTAATCCTCACAAAATTCCATAATTTATTTTTTAAATATTTTTCTAATCTGAAATACTAATAATTATATACCTCCAACACAATACTTGAGTGAACACCAATTGTAGTTTCAATTTTAAATAAAGTAAATTCCTTCCTTTATCAGTATTTAAGAGATAGTATCGATAATTATCTAGCGTTTCTAGTTTTACAAATTGATTGGTAATAAATTTCCAGGATTATGTTTGAAAAACAGGTAGCTCTAAAATATTAATGTAAATCCATACATTTGTAAAATTATTATCAGGCGAGGCACGCACTTTACCATTCAAAGACTTTTCTTGAATTATTAAAATCTTTAATCAATTTTTTGATTCATAGATTTATAAATCTAACCTTTGTTATGATCAATAAAGTTATACAATGATAAAGGCTTAAAAGATATATTGGTTAATAACACATTGGTTATTGGATAGCTAATACATTAATTTGAAGGTAAAATTCATTAATTTTTAACCAGATGAATATCTGATAATAAAGGGTTTGCTTAGTTTTAGAAATGAGAAATCATTTACTTTCCAATAAAAATTATTATTTCATCATATAAAATGAAATTGTGCAAAAAATTTTTAAATCATAATTATAAATTTTGTTGAAAATGGCCAAGCATATCAATTAGATATTTGTGTTAATTCTTTTAATTAATATTTCAATCGTTGCTAATTAACTTTGTTTAAGATAATAAGCAAAAATAAAATCAATTGTTAGGGCTCATTATAAAAATGCATTCAGCCAATATAAAGGGGCCTTAATTTCATCAAAAATACTAATTGGTTTCGTTGGAGGCAATAATGGAAGTTGCCTTAGGGATAATATTTATACTTTCAATTTATATACAGAGAGTCCAATAGGATATTCAATAGACCTTGCGTTAATTTAAAAGTATGAAATAAATACATTGAAAATATGGTTTTGGGACGGAGATAATAGATACTATAATGTTAAAATTACCATCCTATTAGATGGCGAAGAAACCTAGATTTATAATAATTTGGCAAGAAATATATTGACAATAACATTTCCTAGTCAAATAGTCTCAGAATTAAGGATACTAAATATTGCCGGAAATACATACAACACTTAATTGCACGTTATTAAAGTAGAAGCTTTTTATAAATTGTCATGAACATTTGACTATTTTTTTATCATAATTTGTAACAAAATAAATAATCATTTTTAATTATATTATTTCAAATTATTTCTTCTTATGATAAAAGTACAAATATATTTGGTTTTTAATAGTTAAAAATTTTCCATTCTGTTCTTTATTTTTTTCTGTTTTAGAAGTTAACTAATCGTATTCTCTCTAAATTAGAGCTTTTGAGTTCTGAATTTTCTAAGTATAACTTTCTAGCATTTTTGTTAAATGATAACATTTTCAACGTAGTATTTCAAGCAACAATTCTTTAAAATAATATCAATTAACTTAAAGTTAATATCTAGTAGATTACTGCTAGAAATGTGAATTTTAATTTAAAATAATAATTGAAAATTTACTTTTTCAGCTAATGCTAAGATAAATAGTATTAAAATTTTACAACTTAAATGTAAAAAATATTTCAATAATAAGGAGATCTTAATACTAATATAGTTCCTCGTTAAAAGAGCAATAAATGTATGATATATTTAGGATTTCTTCTTTGATAAACAAAAAATTAAATAATTTAAGTTTCATAGTAAGAAAAAGATTAGGATGCATTATTTAGAAACATGATTTAGATTTAATCTAATTTGTATAAAGAATTAAAAGGATTAAGATAAATACCTGAGGTTTCATTCAATAAAAATAATATTCCTCTTATAATTTGATATTTAACTTATTAAATATAGATGCCTAAACATGCCCCTATGAATTTTCATCTTAACATCAGAATGATTATTAGCTATTCTTATAATGTCAATTATAATTTCAATTTTAGTAGAATTTGTAGTCAAATTCTTGGAATAATTTATTTATTGCCACCAAAAATTTACTAATCTTTCTAGAAATTTTCAATATTTCTTATTAAACTCTCAGCTGAATTTCACTTGGTAATGAAAGACTTTTTAACAATTCTCTATTCTGGGTTCAAATTTATTAATCAATATATACTAACTAGAGTTATTATAATGGCGATGTAGCAAAATAATTCTGACAATATTATAGAATTTAGATTCTTATATAATGATAAAATAAATCTTAAAATCTTTAATAAATGTAAATGAATATTTACATTACCAATTTGAATTGAATTAATATAACTTGAAATATTATTAATATAAATGAGTTTTATTAGAGTAAAATGCTATAAAGAATAACATGAATTTATAGAATAAGTCTGCTTAAATAAATAATGTTAAGCTAATAGAGTTTATTGTCATTAATTTCTTTAGGACGGAGATCACGATGCTCATCCAATAGATTAAAAGAATTTGCTTGAATTAATTGATTTGTTTGAAAATACTGACCAATAAAGTGAGAAGCTAATCTCGGTTTTATGATAGAAGAGATTAAGGAATTAATTTATTAGTTAAACTAAGAGCTAAGAACAAAATATCATTATTCTAAGAAAGGTTGTAATAATTAAATACAAAATAATTTAATTAAGCATTGGATTGGATAATTCAATATGATGATATTAAAATCAATTTAATGAATCAGCTAGAAGTAGATTCACATAAATTGATCAAGTAAATTAAAATATAAATTAATCAATTGAAACTAGATCAATAAAAAAAGTAAAACAATCGCATTAAAAAGGTATACAAATCATTAATTTAGCATACAAATTATATGATGATGAGGATGAATATGAAGAGGCAATCAATGTCTTAGATGCTGCATTACTAATTGATCAAAATCATTTTGATTCATTATATTTAAAAGGTAGTAAAATTATAAGTACATGCGTTATCTCGATGTTTAATGAAATTATTATGATAATAATTAAATATATATTGTGTGAATAATAACAAAGATGCTATTATATACGCTGATAAAGATTTGTTGATTGATTCGCATGATTTCGATTCATTAACTATAAAAGGTATTAAAGCTGTGCTTAAACGCTTTAGCTAAGTGTTTAAAATGGCTACATAATTACAAAGATGCAATTATATGGACTGATAAGGCTTTATCAATTGATTCAAAGCATGACTATTAATTACAAACGAAATGTCATTCAAAATTTCTAAAATAGGTGATCATTATACTGAATTAATATTAGTAAAAATTACAGGGATNAGAATTTAGATTCTTATATAATGATAAAATAAATCTTAAAATCTTTAATAAATGTAAATGAATATTTACATTACCAATTTGAATTGAATTAATATAACTTGAAATATTATTAATATAAATGAGTTTTATTAGAGTAAAATGCTATAAAGAATAACATGAATTTATAGAATAAGTCTGCTTAAATAAATAATGTTAAGCTAATAGAGTTTATTGTCATTAATTTCTTTAGGACGGAGATCACGATGCTCATCCAATAGATTAAAAGAATTTGCTTGAATTAATTGATTTGTTTGAAAATACTGACCAATAAAGTGAGAAGCTAATCTCGGTTTTATGATAGAAGAGATTAAGGAATTAATTTATTAGTTAAACTAAGAGCTAAGAACAAAATATCATTATTCTAAGAAAGGTTGTAATAATTAAATACAAAATAATTTAATTAAGCATTGGATTGGATAATTCAATATGATGATATTAAAATCAATTTAATGAATCAGCTAGAAGTAGATTCACATAAATTGATCAAGTAAATTAAAATATAAATTAATCAATTGAAACTAGATCAATAAAAAAAGTAAAACAATCGCATTAAAAAGGTATACAAATCATTAATTTAGCATACAAATTATATGATGATGAGGATGAATATGAAGAGGCAATCAATGTCTTAGATGCTGCATTACTAATTGATCAAAATCATTTTGATTCATTATATTTAAAAGGTAGTAAAATTATAAGTACATGCGTTATCTCGATGTTTAATGAAATTATTATGATAATAATTAAATATATATTGTGTGAATAATAACAAAGATGCTATTATATACGCTGATAAAGATTTGTTGATTGATTCGCATGATTTCGATTCATTAACTATAAAAGGTATTAAAGCTGTGCTTAAACGCTTTAGCTAAGTGTTTAAAATGGCTACATAATTACAAAGATGCAATTATATGGACTGATAAGGCTTTATCAATTGATTCAAAGCATGACTATTAATTACAAACGAAATGTCATTCAAAATTTCTAAAATAGGTGATCATTACAGGGATAAAGTGAATATGAAGAAGCACTTAAATTTATTAACTAAGCATTGAGTTGTGATCCAACTAGACATTATTCTTTATACTTAAAAGGTTCATTATATTTCTATTTCTCTAGGAGAATGCTTACAATTTTCATAACAGTATGAAGAAGCAATTATTTATTATGATAAGGTACTTGAAATTGAACAAATATTCCATTTATCTTAAATTTACAGATTTTAGCAATATTTTGCCACCATTTCAAATATAAAGTAACAAATTGTAATTAGAAACAAGAATAAAACATGAAATGAAAATAATTGCGTTATTATAAAATGAATCTGATCAAACTATCTTTTTTCCTTAATTAATTTATGCCCTTTTTTTTTGAAAGAATAAATATGGTTTTGATTAATAAAATAATATTTTCACAGTTATTGTTACTATATCATTATTAAGTTCCTTTTCTCATAGACTTTCTTTCCTTTTTCTTCTCTTGAGATAATATATATTAAAACTTTTATTCGAGATTATGTTTTGAGGTTAATTGGATTGCATTTATTAAATTCTGCTTTAGTAAATGATGATATATTTTATTATCTAATTATAATTCAGCTTCCATAACTCTTTTAAGCAATTTATAATCTTAGGTACTTTTACTAATTGCTTCAATCACTATTCATAGCATTATCAATTTAAACTAATCTTCTATAAAATTCTTCTTGATTTAATTAACCTCAGCATAGATTTTGAAAATCTTCCCATTAAGTATTCAATTCCAACTTATCATTAATATTTTTTCAATAGGATCTGATAATAAAATTTACAAGAGATATTTAACTATAATTGACAAGCAATGTACAATAAATGCTTCCTATAAATGTAGCATATGCATTGTTTAAACAAATGTCTGCATTCCTATCAAGTCAAAATATGAAATACGCTTGAGCTTTGGAAAAGATTAAGATCTTTATATGAAATTAATAAAACTTGAGAAATTATTGTTATGGAAATCCTAGTGATGAAAGTAATCACAGACTAATTTAATTAATTTAATTGTTATTGAATATTGTTAATAATCAACTTTTTTTCTATAGAATTTTGTTCTCTAAATTCAAACTACCTTTAGATTTGAACAAATATAGTAAATCTACACCTTAAAAATTCACAAATTCTCCTTTTAAGATTAAAGCTCCTTTGACTTCCAAAATTGGATTTTGACATATTCTGATTATTGTACGATCAATGTTAGCTAATCATTATAAAACTAATACCATGTTATAAATTTGAAGGACTTTAAAGTGGAATTTTAAACTAAAAAAGAGGATCTTGGTAACAATGATCTTGAGGTAGAATCCCCTCTGATTTCTCTAAATCCCATAAACGGATAGAATTATCTGAACTACCAGATGCTAATGTTGTACCATCCAGAGAGAAACAAACTGATAGAATTCCATTTGTATGGCCATCTAATTTAGTTTTTTATTATCTTGTCTTAACATCCCATAAGCAAATAAAGTTATCAGAACCACCAGATGCTAATACAATACCATTAGGAGAGAAACAAACTGATTTAACATGATTTGAATGACCATCTAATTTGGCTATTTATTATCCTGTCTTAAGATCCCACAAACGGATAGATTTATCATAACTACCAGATGCTAATGTAGTACCATCAGGAGAGAAACATATCGAATTAACCCAATTTGAATGACCATCTAATTTAGCTTTTTATTACACTGTCTTAACATCCCACAAACGGATAGACTTATCATAACTACCAGATGCTAATGTAGTACCATCAGGAGAGAAACACACTGAATTAACCCAATTTAAATAAACATCTAATTTGGCACTTTATTATCCTTTCTTAATATCCCATAAACGGAGAGAATTGTCTGAACTACCAGATGCTAATGCAGTACCATCGGGAGAGAAACAAACTGATAGAACTCCACTTGTATGACCATCTAATTTGGCTTTTTATTATCCTGTCTTAACATCCCATAAGCAAATAGAGTTATCTTAACTACCAGATGCTATTGTGGTACCATCAGGAGAGTAACAGACTGAAATGACATGATTTGAATGACCATCTAATTTGGCTTTTTATTAACCTGTCTTAAAATTCCACAAACGGATAGAATTATCATAACTGCCAGATGCTAATGTAGTACCATCAGGAGAGAAGCACACTGAATTAACCCAATTTGAATGACCATCAAATTTAGCATTTTATTATCCTATTTTTATATCCCATAAACGAATAGATTTATCTGAACCACCAGATGTCAATGTAGTACCTTCAGGAGAGAAGCAAACTGATAGAACTTCACTTATATGACCATCTAATTTGGCTTTTTATTATCTTGTCTGAACATCCCATAAACGGATAGTGCTATCACCACTGCCAGATGCTAATTTAGTACCATCAGGAGAGAAGCATACTGAATTAACCAATTTTGAATGACCATTTAATTTGGCTTTTTATTATCTTGTCTTAACATCCCACAAACGGATAGATTTATCATAACTACCAGATGCTAATGTAGTACCATCAGGAGAGAAACACACAGAACTAACATTACTTGAATGACCATTTAATTTGGCTTTTTATTACCCTGTCTTAAAATCCCACAAACGGATAGAGTTATCATCACTACCAGATGCTAATGTAGTACCATCAGGAGAGTAACAAATAGAATTAACTGAACTTGAATGACCATCTAATTTGACTTTTTATTATCCTGTCTTAACATCCCATAAACGTATAGACTTATCATAACCACAAGATGCTAATGCAGCACCATCAGGAGAGAAACATACTGATCTAACCAAATCACTATGATCTTTTAATTTATGTATGTGCTTTCTTATTTTAAGATTCCATATAAACACAAATGTGCCACTGCAAGAAGCAATCATAGTCTCTTAGGGTGAGAAGCAAACCGACTCTACCTACCTCTTTTCTTATATTACAAATGATATTTTTCCTGTCTTAATATCCCATAATCTAATCGATTTATCATCACTGCAAGAAGCCAATTATCTCCAGTTTGAAGAAAAAATTACTTAATTGACCTTATTACCATGACCATATAACTTAATTTCCTCATTTATGCCTAAATTCCTCCACTTACAATTAACTAATTTGGTTTCATTCAGATTCAATCCACTAATATTGACATTTTCAAATTTAGTTCCACTTAAGTCACATCTCAAGAAATTTGCTCCTTAGAGTGTGGTATTTTTAATTCTAATATTTTCAAAAGATTATTCTCTTAAGTCAATCTTCATTTAAACTAATAAATGAAGAGAATTTGATCCACACTATATGTATCTCTCATCTAAGGCTGTAAGATAAACGAAGAATTTTAGAAATTCTATGATTTTCTTATCTTATGATATTTTTGCGATTAGATTTTATTTATTTTCTTCATATTTATTTATCGAGTAATTTAGTTCATTAAATTCATGATCCTTAATTTTTTTGAGAGCATCTTTAATTTACTTAATGTGATTTTTTTCCACATTCAACATATATTCCTTATAATTTGTAATATTATTTTACCTTTTATATTTCTTATTCGACTTACTCTAGATTTCGATCTTAAGAGAGAAATTCTAGACAGTCTTCAATTTTCTCTCTTTTTAATATTCTAATTAGGATAGGGAAGACTGCTTCATCGATAGCCTAAGAGAAAGCCAAAATCGTATATAAATCTTCATCCCACTCTTTTTTGCAATTCATTCTCGTCATTTAAAAAAAAAATAATAATTTATTTATATAATTGTATTTTGAATTTATATTATAAACCTGAAAGTGTCTTGCACATTTTTATAAGGAAGAAGTTAAAATTAATTAAGATGTGAATTATAATATGGACAACTCACATATACTTTCGCATATCAAGATTCTTATGAATATTGAATTTAAATACATAATAATTTTTTAACAAACACAGCCACACAATCCATTAATTTACTATATTAATGATTCAATCTCCATATAATTAATCAATTATTTGAATTTATAGATTAATTTAAAGAGACCTATGAGATAGGAATGAAATCCTAATTAACGCGCCAGGTAAATTGGAGAAAAAAGTTAACCTAAACATTTGCTAAGGATAAATCTTAGATAGAAATTTATCAAACTTTGGAGGATGTATTATTGGAAAATTCAGACCTACCATTTCTTTAAAGTGAAGAAGTTTAAAAAAGAAAGCTTTTTATTTATAATAGAGTCATGGAAACAGAAGAATCTGTTTTTGAGAGATCTTAATTAAAGGAAATAAATGGGAATTGTTAACTCTCCTGATTTTAAGTAAAATTTACTTTAAAACATTCCTATTACCTCCTACTCTTAGGATGCGGGAAAAAGAGCTATTTTCCAAAAATAAGCCTCTTCTAGACTTGATATTGAAAAATTATAAGGGGAGGTTAATACCCTTAAGGAAAGTAACCAGGTAGCTGGCATGTTAATGATTTCTAACTTGATCAAAATATCTAAGAAATTTAGGAATTAAATAGATTATTTTGGCAAAAGAGAATTAAATACATCTGCTAGAGGACTCTGGCTTGGAAGGGCCTCTGAATAGGATAGATAAATAATCGTGAACAGGAAATTCTCTTTTCCGTAAGATTATCTTAAGAACCATAAGATTAACATCAAGCCTTTTTTTTTTGAGGTTTAATATTGGAGGATCAGAATTTCAAACTCAGCGAATAGTGTCTCTATCCAGCCAATTAAATAAATTAATTAAATTCAAAAGGAAAGATATGACTCCTTCATTGACCACAATATCAATATATATAGAGCTAATCTCTCTTTAAATAAAGGGGACATGTTTAAATTTCTTAATAGAATGAATAAAAGATTGATCTAATATTTGAAAATAACTCTTCTATTATCTAAGGAATATTAATTAGGAAATTGGATTTGAAGACACTTAAACCTTGGTGGACTTATATGATGATAGTTTATAAAGGCTTTAAAGGATTGTGTGATATTGTCTTCTTTAATTCCCTTCCTTACGGTAATTAACTTGTTAAGGCTGAGCAAGCCTCTGTACTGTAGAATTTGCAGAAAATCTTTACTGTTGAGTAAGGTTTGCTTCTTACACATGATCTCTATGTAGAGTTCTCATACAAGGCCAGTATGGATATTTTTGGGATAATTAACCACTCACCTATGTTTTAAATTGTTAGGTATGAAAAAGATGGATTGGGGACCGATTTATATTGGAGTTTGCAGCTATGAGCGAGACACAACTGTTTAATGGGTTTACCTATGATGGTTTCTAACTATGTAGATTCTGTAACCTATGTGGCTATTTCTCTAGCGAACCATCAGTTGATCTGAGTGATGATGTTTTACACTACCTGTATCAGGATAAAAAGAGGATATTCAAATTGGTTACGATATATGAAAAAAATTTAAAATAATTTAATCAGCACATTCAGGTGTTTAATTTAAGTATGCTTTTATTAATGAATTACGAGTTAAAGTGAAATATGAACTCTTTATTAATGTGAGAATCCACATTGAGGATGAAATTACATTTATTAAGATTGCATTCAGTGAAACAATATATCAGTATATAATTTTTTAGTCATAGCAGTTCTATCCTAAAAATTACAATTAGTGATTTGTTTTGATATCGTTGTGCAAGGTTTCAGAATACGTTTGTTAAAATTAACGACAAGTACATCATTAATATGAGTCTCAATAAAGAAAGAAACAGTATATGTGTCATCTAGAAAATTAGTTGCAGTATGGAGAGGCAAAAGTTTGATATAATGTTGCAAAATAATATTTGCAAGTAAATGGTCTAAGCTAGACACATATCTATTTTGCTATTAAATAAGGAAATTATGTATATGAATTCATTTTATTAATAATTTATTTGGTGTAAATTAAAATTTGATATTTTAACATATAAAATTCACTAAGTTTAGATCTCATAAGAATAAAAGAAGAATCAATCAAATAATCTTTAGATAAGAATAACGAACCTATTATTTAGGATTTTGCTTTCTATGCAATTTTTGGATTATGAAAATATTTTAATATTTCTTCAGTTTTATAAATTTTTAAAGTATTTCAATATTTTTTTTGACTTTATGTGATATAAATTATTTAGGAATCATTTTTTTAGATAGTATTAGTCTGGTTTCAATTCAATGTTATTTTTATAATTTTTAAGATAATTATGAACTTTTATGATTTTTTACCAACAAACAATTTTTGAACGGCATTAGAACTTCAGATATTTATATATGTTTAATATAGGTAACTATTACTTCGATTTTATAATAGTTATTTAATTCTAACAAAAAATTCAACTTAGAACCAGATGTGAGTTTTAAATAAATAAAGATTGTGGCTAAAAATGATATTTCTATATTAAAATAGTTATCACATCATACTACAATCATCCTGTTTTTACTTTTCTCCAAACTTTGTTATTTAAACATTAATGGAATATTATTCTTACATATCAAGCTCAGGCAAGAAGTCCATATTATCTAGTTGATTTCCTTAATAAATAACACCAACTTCAAAGTTTTCTAATTCCTCCACCGAATATTTAATTTATTCCTAGTTAATTAAAGTAGCATTATACTTTTAAATCTCTAACTCTAGGTTGAGATTATTAAACATCTACTAGGAAAGTTTTTCCACTTAATGCTCCAAATGAATAATCACAAGTAATCGAAAAAAAAACCATAAATAATAATAAAATAGAATTTTTTTTGGGAATATATAGAAAATTATTTATATTAATTCTAATTAGGAATTTAAACTTAATAAATTACACATCTATTAGGAGATAATTTCTATAAACGTTTAGATTCTTAAATAAATTATCAACGTAATTTAGTTGTTGAATTCTAATAAGAGAATGATAATGCAGGTGTTGTTGATGTCATTGTTTTACCAAAAATACTATTATTATTTGCAGGCTCAATAAATAGTGTTACAAAATTAGACACATTTGAATTCATTTAATTTTAGACAATTATAAACATTATTTTTCGTAATTAAAGAAGGAGAATTTCACACAGTTATAAACAGCTTAGTAAAATCATCGATTAATAGAGCTTCAAAAAAAGTATTTTTAAAAAAGGAATTAAATTCAGGCCAATTCAGTAATTAATCTACAAGTCTCATTTCCAAAATATTTTCAATAAGATTTTGTCTTCAGATCAGCCTACTCATAAATTAGGAAATAAAGAATGTGATTCACCTTTAGTAGAATCTGAATCTATAGTTGCAAGGTTTATTAGGAATTTTGAAATTTTGATAACCATCGCCTCCTTTGGTATCTTGTTTATTAGAGTATCTCTAATTTCTTTATGAATTCATATATAACAATTACCTTTATAAAGTTATGCTCATTAATTTAATTGAGAACATTTGCGATTTCTTAATGCTACTTTTGATAGGTCTACCATCTATCACTTATCTAAAAGTTAAAAATTGACACATAAAAACAGTTAAATATCCAAATCTGCTGATATTGATATTGTTTTGAAAGATATTCTAAAAAACCTGTTACTTTTTTCTTTAATAATATTACAATTATTAAGCTAAATAAATCAACTTATTTAAACAAAGGAAATGAATTGGAATTCTTTTTAGATGTTATAATTTAGATGTTCTTTATAAGTAGGATATATAACAACGAACTTCGATATAATTATACCTATTTTTGACTTAGCTTTCTTTAGAAGTACGAATGAAAATTATTTTTTAAATAACAAAATAATTAGCATTTTTAATAACTTTAAATTCAAATAAAAATAATGTAGCTTCTTATCAAAAATTATATATATTCATGCCTGTCTTTCACTTTATAATTAATGTACTTCAATTGCTGTTTCATCTTTGCGCTTGACAATGTTATCAAGCACTTTTTTCTTTGATGGTTCATGAGTGCAGACCCCTTTTCCACAAAAGAAAATTTCCCAAAATCCATAAAATACTGTGAGTCCGTATCCAACCTATACTATAAGACTTAATATCCAATGAATGAAATCTTTCCAAATTGGGATTATTTCAATTACAATGTCCTTTAGAAGATATTTTACCGCTAGTTTATTCATGAATATCATAAAAAAGAGGCAAATATAAACCACAATAAGTGGTATGCAGAAATATTGCTAAAGCACAGGATCGCTTTCCATTACAAAGAGTCTAATTGTAGTTGTAATTAATAGCAAGCTTTAAACACAAATAAAGGATGCGTAATAATTGAGATAATTGCAAGCCCATAAAAAAGCAGAGCAAAACTAGATTCTTGGAGCTTTTATAATAAAGTAATGGAAAACTTCAGCCGATCCTACGCTCCACCTCTTATTTTATCTGACCCATTCGACAAACTCTTACCACATATTTGAACCTGATGTAGGACCTGAAATAGTAGGACAATAAATAGGTTCAATCTTAAGACATCTTTTGCTCAATGTCTTCCATCTTATATAACAAATTATATCTTCCATTTGGTAAGTTGGATGACAAAAATCTCCTTCAATGTATAATTATAAGGAAGCAGTATACACACTCATAATGTTTATATTAAATGGTATAAGTGCTCCCATCATAAGCATATTTCTAGCTAATCCTGTAATTCTTGTAAAAACACTAAGTTTATCAAGTCCCCAGTTATAAAATAGAACTGGTTACCAAACAAAATTATTTCTGTCTTTCTCTTTGAGGATATTCATCATTTGGATATCAAGAAAATTTTTGTGAAATATGGTATCAACATCAAAGTTAGTTACAAAGTATTTGTTCGGATCAAAGTTTGGTTCGCTTTACCTTAAATGAGCATAGACGGATCTAATTCCATAATTATTATTAGAACACTTGCCTGGGATTTCTCCTGGAGTACCATAGGGATGTACTGTAATTATAAGTTAGCCAAACAAACTTGTAAATTATTCAAATACAGCATTTATTTTTGATTCCTTATCTGGAGTTTTTTCTTCCATACATACTACCATAACTATTTCCTTAGCAATCCTTTGTTGAGAGACATTTTGAAGGGTTTTCAAAAGTAATTCTAGAGGTTCTTTGTAAAGAAATGTTATCAAAATAAATTTAATAGGAGAAGGAGTTGGAGGCTACTCTTAGCCAATACTTACCTTTTTAATTGTCCTGTGTATTTTAGTTAAAGTATTGGCAGCCAAAAACGTAAATAACAACCATAATGAAGCATAAAAACAATTAACTCCCAAAGTGGCTTCTAAGGGAATATAGAAAGGAAAGGCTGCCATAGCTATCATTAAGGCATTTATAATCAAATTCCATCTAAATCTTCCTCCACAAGTCTTATCTTCTTTTAAAGTCATTTTAGTGGCGATTGGATTTTCTGGTAATTCAGAAGAGATTAACAGTCGTTTACCATGGTTCAGCTCACTCATTAAATATGCTTTAAAGTAATATATTATTTCTAATCTTATTTAAAATCAGTTAAATAGAAAAAGTAATGCCATATTTAAGATCTCATAACTCATCATTATTAAATACAATTTTTCAATTTTTATTTTTTCTTTTAGAATAAAATTAAGCCTTGTCCATTTTTTATATAAATTTTTCGTAGTTCGTTACTGTTATCGGATGAGAGTATTAAATTTGGCTTTTAATTATTCTAGAATTGAACTGTAAAATTTGAAAATCTAAATTTATACCATAATTTTTATTTATAATCACTAATTTATAAACTTGATTAAAAAAATATTAAAAGTATAACGGATTAAATCACCTTTGTTTTTGATGCCTTTTAGAATAAAAAGTGGTTCATCATAAAATTATGAAGGCATTTTAGAAAATGTTTAAAAAAATTATTTATGGCATTAATAATATTTGAATAATATATAGGTATAATTATAAAATTATTATTATAAAATAAAAGTTACGAAAGCTAAGAAAATTTTTTTTCAATATTTTCTCTCATCTAAAATTACAACCCATTTTGTAATTGTGAAAATATATAATAAAATCGCTAATTCTTAAGATCCAGTTGAAATAATTTTTGAAATTAAAATAGAGCTATTGTATCTTGCTTCAGTAACTCTTCATAATATAATCTATAAGTTAATAATTATGAATGATAATTGTTGTCCCATGAGTCTGATTTGTGGGTAGAATTATCTATCTAGAATGGATTAAAGAATTATTTTATTTTCAATATAATGAGGTAATAATTATATTTTATAAATTTATCATACAATCATGATTTTGACTCTGAGGCTAATAATCTACATTACATGAACTCTGGATTGAATTAATCTTATACTCAGATATTAATTAGCTTTTTTCTGGCAGAAAATTAGAAATTTTTTTAATATCAGAGCTGATTAACAAATTATAAGCATTTCATCAAATATGTTATTTTCACCATGTCTATAATGCTTGCCAGAAAAAGTTTCATTCTATTCCTATACTTAAATGTTTTCTTATAAGTATACATACCAATTCAAAGTAAATTTAATTAAAAAGTTATTTTATATTCGATTATTAAACAATTTGAATTCGATTTAAACTTAAAGCGTAGATTATCTTAGTACTCCTAGTCTTTACCAAACTTCATATATGAAATAAATGTTTATTGTAATTCTTGGTTTGAAATTTAAATGATAAAGTTTCAATAATTATAATTAACTTTTATAATATAATAATTTTAGACAATTTTATATAATATTAACATACCTAAATATAATTAAATGCATATTAAATATCATTGAAAAAAATACTAAACTTGAAATTTATGAAAAGGTGAATAAATTTTTTATTGTAATCCTTGAATCTTTAAAGATGAGAGAATAGTTCATTATAAACAAAATTTCCAATAAAATTAATTGTTTGTTGATTCTAATATACTATACGAAGAAAATTATAATATGACTGGCTATTTAGAAAGATATATATTTTTTAACTTCGAACTATGTAAAAATTAAATATTAATCATTAATATAAATCTAAAGCATTTTTATCAAAATTTAAGAAGTTTTAGAAGAATGAATAGATGGAGAGAATAAAATTATGAATTTAAATTTCCTTGAAATAATTTTAAAAAGGAAGAATCACCTAAGTTTCATTTATGTAATTTCTTGAAAACCATTTAGTTACATTAATTTTTGAACCATTAAAAGGAAATTGCCTTTAACTCTCATCATAAGAAATTATA